CCTAGCTTTTACTTTAGAAAGGCTTTGAATCAACTTCGCTTTTACTTTGAAAGTATTCAAATAACCTTCTGGTTCTAACAGCGCAGGAGACCTCACAGTGCAGCTCTGGGTCCTGACAGTGCAGCTCTGCAGCCATACCCCTCTCAAAATATTACATCTACAGTAAAAGAGTACATAAGTATTTTTAGATGTAATTTTTCTCATCCTCCGCTTGTAGGATTTCATTCCAGTTTCGCAAGAACTCATGGGACATGATTCACAATCACAAAGTGGATTGTATGTTGCAACAACACTGTTTTGTAACAACTCCAGATAACTGTAGCTGCAGCATTAAAACATGAATGAAATAGTTTCATCCTTGGATCCTTACAGGAAGATGCACATTTTACATTTTTTTTTTTAGATTTACGTTGTTCGTTTTTCTATGTTACCATAACACACATATATGTGGGACCTGCTGAATACCACCTGTTTCTTAAATGGAAAGCATCTGGTGTTGGAGTAAGACTAAGATTGAGGTTCTGAATACCGTATGTGGAAAAGCAGTAACCATTAATATGTTTGGTTGAGAATGTGTGATGCTATGGGCCAATTGCTTTTACAAAGGTCCTGGGAGCCTTTTTGTTGTTTGTAGAACACAAACTCATAGAACATTCTAAAATTAAGTTTGGTGAGATATCATCTTGATACAAGACCCAACCTTTAAACAAAACCTGTTAGGTAAACTTGTTTCCAAACATAAATATTTAAAAGAATAACAACAAAGTAACTGATAAAAAAATAAGATTTTATTTGCACAAAAACTTCCTTGACTAAGATAATTCCTTTTTAAACATGCAGAAAGCAAATGGACATTGGACGCTATTATACTGTATCTTACATGTCAACTACTAATGCTGCTTTGAAACAAAATGTCACTGACCACCCGTCTCACACACACACACACGTCTCACACACACACTCATAAACCAAAAATAAATGAATTATTTTTTTCACAGTTTATGCCCCTGATCTAAACTCCCATTTCTATTGATAATTTTAAATCTGTTGTCTGCACCATTTTTTGTTTTTATGTATTGTAAATAGTCTGTTTTTAATGAACAGCTACACTTGCATCTTATGTATAGTTTTTTTGAAAATGATTTTTTTTAGTGAAATCTTCCTTGGCTCAGGGAACGCTATTTCTTATAACTGTAATGCATTTTTAAGTGGTATTCATTTCCTAAATCTGAAAAATGTTATACTTAATTGACTGTTTTTATGTTTGTTTTATCTTTGGGTGAACCTACTTGACATCGATGCTGCTGTCAAATGTAAATTTCTCCACTGTGGGACAATAACAGATATTTCTATTCTTTTCAAAAAGAGGACAGCTTATGACAGAAACAATCAGGTACTATCAGTCTGCAAAACAATCAAGAAAAAAAGAATGCTGTGTAAAAACAAATCATTATCATAGGCTGTCTGGAAAACCTCTCTTATTCATCTTGATTCTGTCTAAAGGTCCTTTCAAATACCTAATCTCAGGGATAAAAACCCCCAATTTATTTTGAATTTCTCATATGTGTCAAATGAAACATGATGGTTTTTTAAGACTATAAATGACAGAACATTCAGTTATTTTAGTCGAGCCACTGTCCTCACAATTATTAAGCTCAACTTTATAGTCTTGATTTTTTTCTGTCTTTCCAACAGAACACAGAAAGTTGATGCCTGCAGGTGAGATACTAACCTGAGGCCAGCTATGAATAATTCAGAACAACTGGTCATAAAAGCTGAGCAGTGTCAGAGTGTCAGACCAAAACAAACAAAGCCAAAAAGCCAAATACCATTTTCTTTTGTCCAACAGCAGGTAAGAGAAACAGACATTAGGTCTTTGATCTTACTCCTTTTATTTCAAAGCCTTTATAAGAACAGAAGTGTTCATTGTGAATAAAGAAAAAAAAAGTGTATTGGATGTTTCCAGAATGACATTCAGTCATTTTCTTTACAAGAAAGTAAAAAAAAAAAAAAAAAGTTTTTAATGTTCTATTTAACATGGGGATGGGCAGTTATTAAAAGGAAACACAGGTTACAGGTAAAATAAATTATAGATGGTGCTTAGAAGAAAATGAAATTTTATAATTTTGTAAAAATTTTGATGCAGAAAGAACTAATATACACATTGATTGTATACACAAAATTGTGGTAGCCCTTTTTTAATTAAAGAAGAAACAACAATGGTCAGAAATAATTTGAATCTGACAAAAGTAATGACATTACTAACAGTAATAACATTGCTCTTTAACCATGCTTTAACATGATGATTTTTAAAAATAAATTCATAAAAAAGGTCTGTGTCAGGATTTGGTTGTGGTTTGAGGACCCAAATGCAGAGGCAGGGAGGCAGGGAGGCAGAGAGGCAGAGGTGAGTCTCTTGATGATTTAAAGAACTGTTAACAGACAACATAGGTAGGAATCAAAAAATCCAAAGTCAAGCATAAAAAAAAAGCCAAACAAACCAAAAACCATGGAGACATCAGGGGAAAAAACTATCTCGACGAGAAAGACTCAGTGAAACGGAGTTGGAGGAAGCACTGAGGAACTGCACAAAGAGTGTTTTTATGGGAGACAGAACAAACTGAGAAATAATGAGCAGATTGGAAGCAGGTGTGAACAGAGCAGACAGGAGAGGAGCTAGGGGAAAATGAGAACACAAGAGGGCAGCAGTGGGCAACAAATAAAAGCCTAGAAAACTGTAAAAATAACCAGAAAACACAACAATATAAGAATTAAACCATTGAAACTAGAAAACATTGAGCAAAGTAAAACTGAATACTCAAAAGAAAACATAACAGAACCAAGACTGTGACAATCTGAACAACAATGAAAAGACTGAAAACAATGTGTCATTTTACATGTACCTCAACTAATTAGCATCACATGTGTCTACGATCTACCTTGGCACAAAGAACTGAAAAGAAGGATTTAAACCTGGAGAGACTCAGTCAGAGAAAGATTCAAGTTGAAACGTTGTCATGAATGAAATTAGTTATTTGCTGCTCAGACCCCGGCAGAAGACTTTGGTACTGAGAATTGATATGCCATCAGATTAAATTTTTAGGTAATAATTAGCATTATCTTCCCCCCATAATCCCACTGGTGGTGAAATGAGGATGAATGAGACCATGGATTGCTATGGACTTATGTCTTGATAGGGCAGAGATGGGGCAGTGGCGGGTAGGACAACAGCTGTTATGTAGCAGGTGAGCTGGGCTACTGTAGGCGCTTAATGAAGGTGATCTTGGGTGATGAATGGCTTCAGAGGGGGTGTGGTCCCAATGTTGATTGGCTGACTTGGAGCTTGGGACATCAGGCAAGGAAAATCACAGGCCGTTTCTCAGTTCAGCAGAATGCGAGTATGGACTTGTGTTCTTGCCAAGTATGTTCTTGAGAAGAACACAGAAAAGTATGGACTTGGGAGAACCGGAGCATGTTGCATAAATATGGGTCAATTGGAACAAAAGCGTACTCGTGACGTCACCACATGCTCTGCTCGTCTGAAGCTGCATTTTTCTTCCTGTTATTAATAGTCTCTAGATTGTAATAAATTCTAACTTTTTTCATTTAGTTGGGGAATAATAATTGACACAGTCAGATAAACAGAAATCAAATGAACATTTTGTCAAATAAAACACAAATATCACCATTATAACCAGTGTTCCTTCACACACAGCTATGCAGAGAGAGGGCTGCTGCAGACGGGCTGCGGTTAGCCCTGGCTGCCGTTAGCCTCAGAGCTCCGCTGGTTGCAGCAGTGCCCTCAATAACAGAAAAAAATGTCTTAATTATGCAAAAAATTGGTAAATGGGCCTTAGTGTGACGCTTATAATGTTCGCCAATCAAATCAGAGACCCTTCTCGTTCTGCTGTTCTTGTGAAATGGAACAGTCCTAGGGCTGAGGCTAATGACATTTAACGAGTACACGTGTACATGAGAACGCACAACTAAACATATTGAGAAACGGCCAAAGTCTTCCATATTTAATTTACACTTAAGCGTCATATCAATAAAAGAACACTGTCCCTACTGTGAAGCATGGAGGAGGCTCTGTTACGGTCTGGGGCTGCTTTGCTTTATCTGGCACAGGGTGTCTTAAATCTTAGCAGGGTAAAATGAAACCTCAAGGATTTCAAGAGATTCCAGAGAGAATGGTGCTGCCCAGTGTCAGACAACTTGGAATCAGTCACAGGTCATTGGTCTTCAACAGGATAACAACTCAAAACACAGCTAAAAACACCCCAGAATTACTATGGGGAAGACACTGAGCTGTTCTTCTATGTGACATTCTTTGGAAGGAGCAGAAACATGCTATCTGGAAGAGACAACTGGAGCAGTTTGCTCATGCCGAAAGGAGCCAAAGTTTTAGCAACAGTACAAGTTACAGCTATTTTTTGATTGCCATCATTCTGCCCTGGTCTGTTTTACTAGTTAATTTTGTAAAATCATTGTGTTTAAACCTGTTTGGACAGGATTATCTGAATTTTGTTTATTTCCATAGAATGTTTATTTGTTATCATTTTTGTCACCATTGTGGGTTTTTCTTTCATTAAACAAGGGATCCCAACAATTTTGTCCACATGTATATGTAATAGCTCTCTATGTGAGTTCAGAACTTTGGTAAAGTGTGACACGTCCGTTTAAAGTCCAGAACTAGATGTCCTTCACTTAGAGCCTCACTCAGAGCCGTTCAAGGTTTCTAAGGTCATAGTGTGTTATTTAGTAAAACAGAGAAACTACTTTCACTCATGCTTGGGATTAAATGTGAGCTAAATTAAAAGAAAGTATGTAAAGGTGCTCTAATTAATATGTCAATCAATATTAAATTAGAAAACTAAAATACTTGTTCTACACCCTATAAGTGGTCTGTTGTGACATGGCATAGAGGTGTAATCAGATAGATAATATCATTCGCAGAGCAGGCCAAGATCCAAAGTCCCATAAGCAGGATAAAAGTTACTAACACTTCGTCTTGCAAACCTTTCAGGTTTAGTCAGTCAGCACTCCAGGACTTCCATCATGCTTCTCCTTACTGAAAATACCAGTTTCCATTTTGTGGCACATTTTGGCAGCATTGTTCTTGCGATCATCTCTCAGATAATCTCAGAAATATTTTTCTATCTGGTAAAGGATGACAACGTCCCAAATGGTGAGTCATGTTATATGCAATCACATTTCAGTCATGGGAGAGATCCCAACAGTGGAATTGGAAAATCAAAACGATTTTGAGAATCTGGTGCACTTTTGGGTTCTACTCCAAAGATTTATTTATGCTTTTAAAGTCTCTGTGTTAGTAACTCTGCAAGATTAAATACATTATAGATCAGTAATTTGCTTTTTGGTTCCTAAGGTATTTTTCAGACCTCATCCTGGAATGTTTCTGAGACCTTTTCCCTGGAGGTGACTATGGACAGTTGGTCTGAGAACTACTGGATAGCGATTGACTTGTGGTCTAAAATGTGGCTTGTTTATGCAGCTGTGAGCCTCCATAAAAGGTACATCCTAAAGTGTAAAAAAGAAGTGTGGGTTCACTAGAATTTATTATTTCATTGTTGCTCTTCTATCTGTAGAAACGTGCTTGGTCCTGAGTCCTGCAATCCTGAAATCCACCCTCCCAAATTCTTTCTGATGTGGACTTTCCTTAACTTTGCACGGGTGTGTAGCATCCCTCTGAGGGAGAGGCAGTAAGTTCTTTACAGCACTGCATATCACGTAGCTTAGATTAAAAAAAAGAAATAGACCATTTATGCTAGTGGACTAAAGCTCTTTATGGTTTTTGCAGTTACATCCTACCAGCGATGTTGTTCAGGTGGATTCTACCACTATACAGCTTCTACATGCTGTCCATGTCCTATTCCAACCTCAATAAGCACACAGCTTGGCTGACTATCAACAACACAGCTGTGATCCACTGGACACGTTATCTGGTGATAAGACTATGATAAAATGAGGCTTTTGGAGTTCATTGGGATTTTGCGTGACAGACCAACATAAAGTAGTGGATAATTGGAAAGTTGGAGGAAAAGCATTTGGATTTTTTATTTATTTTTTGCATGAATTTTAAAAACTGTGTTTAAACCTTGTGGAACTACCTTCCACTGCAATTACAGTACAAGTCTTCTGAGATATGTCTTGACTTAACAAACACATGCTTTCTTGGATCTGGACCAGGATTGTCCTGAGTGCAGCATTTGGATATTTTTAATTTTTTTTTTTTTTTTTGCAAGGCCTGTGACTGCTGTTCTGAAATGATACAAACACCCCTCAAAACAAGGATAGAAATATCCAGCATTCTTTAGTTTAGTAAGATAAGGGGGAGACACATATAATTCCAATATATTCTTACTGCCAACAATAGTCAAAAAATATGAGAAGAGAAAGGTTTTTCAAGATAACTGACCCAAGAATGTGTGAAACTGTATACCTTTATTTTAAAAAGACTTATCTTATACTTACTATACTTGTTTGAATATAGAATTTAAAGATGATTTTGGTGACAAAAAGAGAGAAGCTTAAAATGATGTGATTATCTGTTGAACAGTTAAAATAAAACTTACATTACAAAATGAAAATTATTGGAGGATGCTTTGACCTCTCCTACTTTAAACTCCATGATTTTAAGTCATATGTTTAGTGTTGATGTCCCTCTGGAAACTAAAACTCCTCCTCAGTCCCATCTACTGTACTTTGCAACTCCTAACATGTTTTTTTCTGTTTGCTTTTGTAGTGCTCCCCAACATTTAGCTCCATGAGGGACAAGTGAGCTGGTCCTGGTGAAAAGAACAGCATTCCAGCAGCATGATGCAATGACCACTTCATGGCTTTTTTTGGCAAAAACTGTAAAACTTTGTCCATGACCTGTTGCGTGTTTTTTTCAATCACAGATCAATTTAGTTGAGTTTATAAATTAAGTCACTTCTCAGAGCAATTGGTGAGAGCTCAATACAAATGCATGATCCCTCTTTCAGGATTTATTCGGAATATGCATTTGTTTTAAAACTTACCAATTATGTTGGTCTATCACAGTAAAAATCTGGCAGAAATATGTTTTCTTGTTTGTGTTTGTGTAGTAGAAGACAAAAAAAGGAGGGACAAAAACTAATCAAACAATGTCAAATTCCTTTTTTCTAGACGCAGAATGGGTTAGCTGTGTTTGCCTGGTGGACTCTCTTGCATTCTGTGGTGGATTTTGGCATAGTGCTTAAATATTATGCCTATGTGCAGGACCGGGTGGCAAGCGCTGTTGTCCTTTTCCTAATCTCCTTGTGCATTCTTACATGGTAAGGGAAGAAATTTGCTAAAACATAATGATTCAGGATGTAATTTATAAAATAAAAACTGAAAGAAAAGTACTTAATGAATGTTTATTGGCTAAACCTACAGGTTAACCCTACAGAACTTCTTTTTGAGAAAGTACATGCGCCATACATTCAGCATTTACCCCATTCTGGTTCTGGGACTGAGTGCAATGTTCACCAACAGCTACCATGTTCAGAATTTCTCCATTAACACTGCTGTCTGTGGTAAGATACGAATGATAACTTTCAGAAATTATCTTAACAGACGTCTTGCTCTAATCTTAGAATTTTAAACTGAACTTTTTTCACCTTTAGGAGTCCTTATGCTTCTGATAACCATCATGAGTTTCATCCATTTGATCTCTGCATGTCTGAAGAAGTCCCATAAACCTGGTGCTGCAGAACTGAGATTTCAGGAGTGTGAGACTGTTTACCAACCAGAAGGGCATATCAAGCACAAACTAGAAATCTGAGTTCTAGTGCAAAAGTATGGGGCCAAAATGGTAGCTTTAATATTTGCAAATGTGTGTGGAGAGTTGTATGTCTGCGGTCAGGGCAGCATGTGAGCCTGCGAGCCTGCGCAAGGGGTTACAAATCGCGAAAATACACATACAAATCCTTCTACGCATTTGTGCATCTCACACGGCAGAAGAGTAGCAAAAATCACGTGTGTAAAGAGAGCCAACTGAAAAACCGCTTGACTTGTAACCAATGATTTGTCTGTATTTCTGGGTCTTGAAGCGAACATACTTCAGACACAAGTGTCTCTGTGTGTGCTTACAGATTGATCTACACATTTGCAAGTCTCAGTACACATTTGCAGATCTGAATACAGATTTGTGGATTTTTTACACATTTGCAAATCTCAGTACACATTTGCAGATCTGAATACAGATTTGTGGATTTTTTACACATTTGCAAATCTCAGTACACATTTGCAGATCTGAATACAGATTTGTGGATTTTTTACACATTTGCAAAACGGATTACACACAAGTAGTTTTACACATTTGCAGATTGTTGTACAGACACACAAATCTCCTCACACATTTACAGATTTATTTACACATTTTCAAATCCCACTGCACACACACAAATCGAGATACAGACACACAACTCTCCACACACATTTGCAAATATTAAAGCTACCATTTTGGCCCCATACAAAAGCAGAAAGTACAATATGAATTTTGAGAAGTGCGTGTTATACATCCACCACCAAAAGGTGGCGACAAATGCTTGCATTAAAATGTTTGGTTTCAAAGTGGTTCCTCACCAGGAGATGGCAAAGTGGTACAGGACAATGGTGCATACTTAGATTTAATGCTCATAAGGGGGAAACTAAACTCTTTTAATGAAAAAAAACAAAAACAATAGTGACCCTATACAGATGTTAATTTTAGGAACTTTTTAATGTTTCTAAACTAAAAGTTAAAATTGTATTGCGTTTTAATTGTGTGCTCACATGCATGGGTGTTTACCTACATATAAAATTCCATTAATGAGTTAGAGAACATCTGTATTTTTGTCTGCTCCTCTTCTGGATGTGTGACACTGTACCAGGGAATTAATCATACCAAAGTTTAAGAGAGCCCACTTGGTCGTCACCGATTAAAGAACAGAATATTAAACATGCCCTTTGGCTTTGTAGAAGAGGAACTCAACCTTTGAGGAAGAGACAAAGACAAGATTGATACAATAAATATAACCATGGCAATGCCCTTTGTTCAAAAATAAAGATGTGTTATGCAACCTCAATAATGGTTTGAAGGGTTCCAATAAAAAATGCAACCATTATCCATATTATCTTGAATATTTTACATCATAGCTGCTTATGTGTATTTTTTTGTTGTTCCCTACTGCTCACACAGTGTTGTCTTAAAACTTGAGTGGTGGATGGAGGCTTTGGACCCACATTATAAGCTACAATCAACATTTTGCTTGAATGTAACATCTGGGTTGTCATTTCTGATTTTGTAAGTTTGAAACAATTCGATTTAAAAGAGTTTAGAATGGAATAAGAGAAAATTATATTAATAATTTTATCCTTATTCACACAGATTGCTGTATACAATAATAATGATGTGTTTAATTAGAATTTTAATCCACTAAATATGACTCTATCATAAATTCTTTATAATACATTTTACTACTTTATTTTACTATTAAAAAATAGAGCTATTAAGCAGATCATTTCATATTTACTCTTAAAAGGTATAGTGGAGAATGTTCTTTTTCAGGGTGGATCATCAAATAAGTGGTCCTCCTAATTGTCAATCATTCTGGGGATATGTTTGCATAAGGCTGTCCTACATGCTCATCCCCATTTTTCCTTACCAGTGGTGAGTCTGACATAGTCGAAAAATTGCAAATCTTCTTTTTGAAAGCAAGCTTTTATGAGTTACGCGAACAGCAACTTTTAAACAGAGCGTGCACGAGGAGAGATGGACTCGCGCATGCTCTTGCACGCATTTAATATGAGGGCGGGTCATTTAAAAAATTTGGGCAAATCATTATTGAGGCTGTGCACAGAACAACTCAGAACTAACCTTTCTCTTAGATTAACTTCTTTTTTCCAAGAACCTCCAAGATATTCATGCAGAGCATACTTAAAACACTGAAAACATATTTAAATCATTACTGATAAAAAAAAAAAATAGATACATTTGGATATAGTGTTTCATATGTAATGATGTGGACATTCTTGGTATTTCTTACGGGGGTGGCGGCCTAGTGGTTAGGGCACAGAGCTTGGAATCCTGAAGTTGGGGGTTTGAAACCCACTCCCATAGACTGCCACTCTGGCTCTCTGAGCAAGACCCCTAACCCCTGATTGCTCCCCGGGTGCCTCACGATGGCAGACCACAGCCATCCCCAAGGGGATGAGTTGAATGCAGAGGTAAATTTCTCCAGTCTGAGATCAACAAAGTTCAATTAGCATTATTATAATGTTAAGATGACTGACTCTTTCCTTATCTGCTTTCTGGTGCATTGTGGCTCAAACATTTCTAGGAACAGTTTCTGATTGGCTGATCAGCACCTGATGACAACTCCTTCCTTCCCTGTAACTTTCAGCTCATTGGAATCTTTTGTATGTGGTGTTCTGGGATTTAAAAAAACAAACAAACAAGCAAACTGAAATGAACCAGAGCTTTGTAGGAAACCTTAATGAGTCACATTAGACACAAGACTGAACACTCTTTAGATTTGAATTCTGACAAATCTTTATTTTACATTCATCTAATTTTGATCCAGAGGCACCTAAATAAACGTCACTACAAACAACACCTTTCTATTCACTGTGTGACATTTACACAAGATTCACAGTTGTTCCATGGTGTCCCTGTCACCTGGATAATTTTTTATTGGTGTAATCACAATACAAACTAGACTATTATTTGTTCTGTTGGCTACTTGGAGGCTCAAATTTGAAAATGATATTTTAATTTCAATGAGATACGAGTGAAATTACAGAGAAATAGACTAAACATGAAACATTTTGATTTCTGGGAGATCACAGGGAGACATTTGGAGTGTCACTACGATTAAATTAAAACAGATGCTAAAAAAGAGGTTCAAAAAGAAATAATAGTTTTATCGGAATTAAACTATTTTGCAGAAATTAAGTAAAAGAGTAATAAAACTTTATATTTTTGTCAAGCTTATCATCCTAATTCAATTGACTATGCTCGTTGTTTCCTGCAAACCATTTTCCGGGGTCCTGCTGCTTGCTGTAATTGCAAAGCTGATTCAGCTCTATGTTAGCCTGTTCTCCCTGCTGCTTTTAAACAGAGGGAGTGCAAAAACAAGACTTTTACAGCAGAATTCACTCTGTTCCCGTTCAGCAGACAGAGCCTGTGGATGAAAACTTGAGACAAAGACTGTTTGAATGCAGTTCTATTTCCAAAATATGGATTAACCCCTAACATTCAGACAAGCTGAATAATTAAAGAAGGGTTTTACATGTTTGTTTGCACCTGCAGCATGTTTATAGTTAGCAAAAAAATCTTTATTTACCTTACCCAGCATGCTTTGAGTATATGCAAAAAATAATTTTTCAAATGTGCTGCAGCAAGACATAAGAGAGATTGTCAGAAAAAGTACAAAGTACTGGAAATGGTAACGTTTACACCAACAACCTCTTTGAGATAATAAAACACAAATTATTTAGCAGCAAAAAATATAAAAAATGTATATCAAACTAGCTTTCCTGAAGTACCTAAAGGAGATCTAAAAGTATGTATTCTTCTTACCTCAATCATGTCCTAATGACAATGCTTGCTGGCCATATATTCACACTCTTGGTCCAACCTAGAGGAAATGGTCAAATGAGTCAATCTCCACTGATATTATAAAGTAATTTTAATTAATGGACCTCTAATTGAAAATTCTTAGAAACTTTAATCACCTACAATTGCAAAATACGAGAAAAGAAAATGATAAAGGGTTTCACCATTAACAATTCTGTTAATGGTAAAGTATCAGTGTTTCCTGACTGTCACTTAATATTTTTTAACACCCATGAATTTTACTAGTTGGTTTAAAAGGACACACTGGCTATTTCACCGTGACAATATATTGTACCTGTTCAGAGAATTGAAAATATTTGGGGATTTTAGCACTATGTGTTGATATGCAAACGAAAAGGAGAACATCTCAGCATGACCATAGAAAAGAGATTACCCTGCCTCATTTACGAGCTGCCATGGATTCCAGAAGGTATAATCCCATTTTCTTCTAAATGTAATTTTCATTGCCTGCTTCTCTGCAAAACAAATGATAAATGCCCAATGGTAATTTAAAGATTTCAGGTGAAGGCCATTAAATTGCTTCACGGATGTGGCTCGTGCACATATTGCACCACAGCTTTATCACATCTCTCTGGAGCTCTACGGTCAAATCCTCCCCAGGGTGAAACACTGGCTGAAGACAGCAGACGTGTTGCGAGAACTGGTGGTATTTCACTGTCTGGCAGCCCTGTAATTGTTTCTGTACTCTCCAAAGACCTTACCCTCCATAAGAGAAATAACCTAGATATGCAAATGTGTATTCCCAATTAATTTGATTCAAATAATTATGTAGAGAAAAGAGATTGGGTTGGAGGGAGAAAGAAGTGTTACCTTGTGCCAAGTTGTCCTCCCACCCGAGCCCTCTCGTTCTACAGGGTACAGCTAAATTAGCTTAAAATATTGAAGCATGCTTGGCTGCCCAGATGAGCATCAATTATCTCTAACATTTTAATGTGAGGTCTTCACCATCTGAAATCAACAAACTGTGCTGCTGGCAGAAATCAATGCAAGAGGTTTAAAGGCAGCATCTAAGTCCTAAAACATGACCCTATTTTCAGATCTTCTTAAGCTTAATTCAAAGTAGAGCTTCAATGTGAACCAAAAGGATGGCTAAACATAATGCTCCTTATAAAGGAGCTGATTTAAATGGAGGGGAACTTTGTTTTAGGACAACAAAAACATCTACAGTTACTGGAATTTTTAGGAAGAAAACATTTGAAGAGAAAGACTGGCATTTTCAAAACTGAAATTAGCACAAAAATGTATTTTTATGACAACCAAACAACAATTTAAGAAGAAAAAACATTTTTTATCTCTACATAATTTATTTTACTGGAAAAAAAAGAAGAAAAAAACCCTTATGAGCAATACAAAACAACAAAATGTTAACATAATGAAGAGTTTTTAAATTCAAAAATTGACAAGCGCTTTAGACACAATCCAAAAACAGCAAAAAATTATTTTAAGACCGTTGATTTTGGAACATCATTTACAAATGCGAAACACTGAGATGATTTTTGCTGTCTGATTATTTTCAGTAAATGTCATCCTCAGTAGGGTTTCCTCATCAATTTAATCAAAGAAGGCCTAAATTGCCATTGTTCAGACTTCGAATTTGGATCTTTTGAAATCCATGGTGCAACTTTAAGCCTTTGGTTGTTTTCTGTATTTCTATATATATAACATAATAAAAAGCATTAGAATTATAACTCATATTCAAATTAACATGAATGATCTGTTATAAAGCACTGAGAAAAATATAAGGATAAAAAAAAATAAAAAATTGGAATTACTTTCAGATCTTTGAACATACATAATTTTTGTGGTCTGTTATGTATGAAGCATCTTTTCTATGAGTATCTCATCATAAAGGATAGTAATTAAAATCTTTTAAAGTTATTCATACTTTATAACTCTTACTGCACCTCATCAGTTAATATATATGGGGGGAAAAATACTCAACCTATATAGCCCGGTGTATAATACTTTTTTAAGTCTTTGGAAATTTATTTAAAATGTTTTTGGTTTAGTGGTGGCAAACAAATGTTTTAGGAATGAACTGCTATGTAATTTAGTAATTGCAGTGTGCATTGGAAGTTATGAATCTGCAGAGTTAGGATGTCGAGATGTTCTAGTCTCTGTCAGGAGACGAGGATCTGATTGACAGTTTCAAATAAACATGCCTCAAAAAGTTAACTTTTTTTCACCAGCTGCACATATTTCCTGTGTTCCTATGAAAGCAATCTCAGGTGTCATTCAGGAGTCTTCCGGGGTCAGTGTCCTGCAACTTTTAAATGTGTCTCTAGGTGAAAACGTGTGAATCACTAAATTAATCAATAAAAAGTTTCATTAGAGTCTATTGCTCTTAGGGTTACAGCGGAACCAAATCTTGCATGAATGTTGCAGAATTTGACGCCCGAGCTTAATTGAGAAAAAAAAAAAAATTTCTTTGAATTTAGATCACTTTTTCATTGCATATATATAGTAATCAATAATACATTTATACTAATTTAATGTGTTTTTATGTTCTG